GCTCCTTGATGAACTTCTCCTGGTGCAGCTTCAACCACCTGTGATCCAGATCCCTCTCCACGTGCATCCCGAGGTAGTACTTTACCTCCCCAAGGTTCTTGCACTTGAAGTTCTCCATCAGCTGCGACTGCACCTTCTGGATCTCCTTCATGCTGCTGCTAAAGAGAAGAATGTCGTCCACATAGACCAGAAACAGCACCAGCTTCTCCCCCTCCCCCTTGAGAAAGAGGCTCTCATCACAGCTACTGGTCCTGAATCCCATCTCCTCTAAAACAGCTGCCAACTTCTGGTACCAGCAGCATGGCGCCTGCTTCAAGCCGTAGATGGACTTTTTCAGCTTGCACACCCTGCCCGTACCATCCTCATACCCAGGTGGCTGCGTCATGAACACCTCCTCCTCTAAAATCCCGTTGAGGAATGCCGTTGATATGTCCATCTGGATAATGAACTTCCCACTAACGGCTGCATCTGCCAACAAGACACGAAGGGTAGGGGGTTTGGCAGTGAGAGCAAAGATCTCATTGAAGTCCCGCTTCTCCTTCTGCATAAACCCCTTAGCCACCAACCTACTCTTGTAGATGGTGACCTGCCCCTTGTCATCAGTCTTGATCCTTAGCACCCACTTGCATTGTACCGCTTTCTTTCCCTCAGGCAGCACCACTAGTTCCCAAGTCCCATTCTCTAGCAGGCTCTGGTACTCAGCATCCCTAGAAGCTAGCCATTTGTCCCTATCTGGTCCAGCTAATGCCTCCTCCATGCTAGCTGGTTCCTCTGGTGAAGGGGCAAGAAAACAGTACGCAGGCTCATCCTCCTCATCCGGGTCATAGCCATGCGGTAGAATCAGCAAAGCCTCCTAAGTCCCAAGCTGCTGCTCCGCTACATCAGCTCCTGCAGTCAGCTTCTTAGTAGCCATACGGGTACGTCCTGGCCTGGAGACGGGTGTCTCCCATCCCTTCATAACGACACCCTTCGGCTTCGTAGTTTTTCCCTGCTGCTGCTCTCCTCCCTCGGATCCAGCAGCTCCACTAGTGCTACCGCTAGTCTCCACACCATCACCTCCACCAGCAGGTGCCTCCTGCACCTTCTCTTTATCACCACCCTCTGCAGCTGCCTCCTCTCCCTCCTCCCACACATTAGGAGTCAGGTCCAGCTGCATGGCGATCTGCTCCATCTGCTGGGACACCCTGGCCTCCGGCTGTTTCTCCCAGCTCCCATACATCATGCCCTCAACAAACTTCACATCCCTGCTGTCAAACAACACACCCTTGGAAGGCTCCCACAGCAGCCATCCCTTGCTCTCAGCAGCCAGCCCCAAATGCACACACCAGATTGCACTCGCCCCCAACTTACTGCGGTAGGTCTTGGGGACGTGGGCGACTGCCATGCAACCGAACACCCTCAGCATGTCCACCGGCGGCTTCCTCCCAAGCCACCTCTCTAACGGCACCCACGAGTCATCCCCAACCTTTGTGAGTACCCTATTCCTAGCGACGGTAGCGTGCCGAACAGCATGGGGCCACATCAAGTTGCCCAGCCCAGATTCTATGAGCAGCGCCCTAGCTGTCTCCAGAATTGTCCGGTTCGCCCGTTCTGCTACACCGTTGGACTGTGGGGTGTAAGCCGTGGTCAGCTCCCTCTGGATGCCCTGCTTCTTGAGCCAGGCCGTCATCTCAGCTCCAAGGAACTCACCACCCCGATCTGTCCTAATCCGCTTCACCACACACTTTGCTTGCTTCTCCACGAACGGCAGCCAATCGTCTCGAATCGTGGAGGCGGCGTGATCTTTCTGCTTCAGCGGATACGCCCACATTAGCCTGCTCCAGTCATCCACTATGGTTAGGAAGTACCGCTCCCCCTTGTGCCCTTGCACCGGCAGCGGCCCCACCAAGTCCATGTGGACCAGCTCCAATGGCTTTTTGCTCCTGCCAGCCACACTATGGAAGGGGAAACGGGTGAACTTTGAAAGGAGGCAAATTTCACAGTTATCATCGGGTGGTTGTCCGTTCAGCTTCAAGCCCTTAACGGCTCCATCCTTCTCCAGCTGCTTCAGCAAAGGCATTGCCACATGCCCCAAGTGTCGGTGTGCAGTTGCCCAATCCGTCTCCCCAGATCTGGCCGACACTTTCACACCAACCCCTCCAACGGCATTGCACTCCCCCTGGGATGCAGACCCCTCTCCAGCCTGCCCCCCACCATGCCACGCCAGCGCCGGCAGCTGCCACATAGATCTGTGCACGTCCTTGCTCTCGTGCAGATCCCAAAGCACCCGATTGCCCAGCTTCCCCTTATAAGTGCGAGCCCCATCCTTGTTGGTGTTCACCCCAGCCTTGCCAAGCTTACGGAGGGAGATAAGGTTGGCCTTCAGGTCGGGGACGAGGAGAACGTCGTGCAGCACCACCGGCTTGCCATCCGCTCCCTTAAACGCAGCTCGTCCCGCACCAGCCACCTTCAACATGTGTCCAGAGGCAGAGCACACCTCATTAATCGGTGCAGCGCGTACGTTGTCCAGCAGGTCCTTGCGCGGCGTCATTGTCCAAGCAGCGCCTGTGTCCAACACCCAATAGTCCAAGGGGTGCAGCTCTGCTCCAACCTTAGCAGATGCGTCTCCTTGCTCCCCCTTGTCTCCCACATGGAAGAATTGGCCCACGGTGCGCTCCTTCTTCTTCTCCGCACCGCCGTTGCCCTTCGAGTTGTTGTCGGACGAATCAGCGACCATGTTGGCGCCGTTTTTCTGGTTCCTCCGCGCGCCGCCATCCTGGTGACGATTCTGGGGGGTCCATCCATCGGGTTTCTTATAGCACAAAAACCAGGGGTGCCCTTCCTTCTCACAATACCAGCAACTCCCTTTCATTTTGCCACCAGCACCCGACTTGCCCCCACGTCCAGATTTCGCACCGCGACCCCAACCGGTACCTCCTTGTTGGTCGTTGGAGTCGTCGTCTTTCTTTGCACCGCGTCCAGCACCACCGAAGCCACGTCCTTTGCCACGTCGGCTCCCTTGCATCCCGTAGCCGCTGCTGCCGTCGTCTCCACCCCTCAGTTGGCGGCGACGGAAGTCCTCCTCCAGAATCTTCGTCCGCACCCACTCGAGCGTCCACAAGCTCTGGTTCTGCGGCAGGCTCAATCCGCTCGTGAATTGAAGCCACGATTCCGGCAGCAGCGAGAGCATCTTCAGGCACTTGGTCTGCTCCGGGTAGGTGATTCCCGCGATCGCCAGCTTCGCGTAGAGATCACGCATCTTGTCCAGGATGGGTTGTACCGGCTCTCCCTCGCTTAGGCGCAACGCGGACAGCTCCCTCTCCATCATGAGCGTCGCAGCGACGGAGGTAGGGGCGTGCAGCTCCTTCAACACCGTCAACGCCTTCGGACCGCACTCAACCTCCGGCAGCAGGTGCATGACGTGGTGACGCTGGTTCAGCTCCAAACTCTGCGACATCAAGTAGTAGCCAGCCGAGGCGCGCTCGTCCCAATCTTCCTGAAGGGCGGGGTCACTCGGTCTAGGCTCCTCCCCAATCATTAGTTTCAGCAATCCGATCTGACGGAAATAAAGTTGCATTTTCCAGGCCCAATCATCATAGCCCTCACCATTGAACTTCTCGACGGTGAAGTTTTTCAGCACCTCCTTGATCAGCGAGCCCTGGCTTGTTCGCGCTCCCCTTGGCGCAGAAACACCAGAATCATGGCTGCCGCTACGATCTTGGGCTGAAGATTCACCAGCTACCGCCGAGGTGTTCCCCGCCATAGCTACCTATATCGAGGATCACTATAACGCAGCTCTGATACCAGCTTGTTGGTGTAAGGGCCTAATAAACTCAAGCTATTAAGACTTTATCACACTTAAAAACCTCTCCTCGGGGTCACCTCCAAGGGTCCTTGGGTGCCTGGTACAAGACCAGCCCCTATCCTCGGGTCCGAGTTTGTAGAGAGAGGGATCAAGAGGGACTTAGTCAAAACAGCAAGAGTACCTTGAACGTCGCGCAGCGTATCGTGCAAACCGTAGATCGGATTAAGCTGAGAATTTACTATATCGAAGCTCACTCTAAGAGCTTTAAAATAAGCCAAGTTGCCTCGCGAAAAGTTTTGCCATTACGAAGTTATGGCTCGGACAGCGTTAGCCTAGCGTTGGAGTGCTAGTGTACTAGCGTTGACTCGGGTAGCATTCCGCCGTCGCACCGCGTAGAAACGAAATTCCAGGAAGGGAGGAATTCGCTTGAATCAATTTCACTATATTCAGGTACAAACAGAGAAGGAATAAATAGCTCTAGCTAGCAAGGACCTTGGGAATCAACCTGGGAACAACCAGGGATGATCCCAAATAATTCCAAGCAACAGAACCAACCTGGCTGGACAAAATAGCAGGTGGTAGGTTGGTGAACAACCTCTGGTTCTGTTTTTCCAACCTGGGAAAACAACAACCAGGTTCAGGTCCTAAAAACAGAACCTGTTTTGTCTTTGCCCAACCAGCCAAATGCTGGTTCCGCTGGTTTCCCCTGGCCCTGCAGCATGCAGACACAGACAAACAACATCCAACCTTCACCTAAATTGTACCCCTATAGTGCCTGCCCTGCTACACTATAGTCAACCAAACAAAACAGTACAATTTCGAGTTGGATAGAACTGAATCTGCGCAATCAAGTAAGCCGAACCACAAAGCTTCCATCTTGGGTTCCTTTGCGAGCTCGTCCTTTCTGCTTGTACTGTTCATAGCGCGTACAATGTTATGCCGAAGCGCACATTGTGCGAGTACCTGCAAATGCTTCAAGCAAAAATTGCGAAAGCAAACAAACACACGAACATACCATTCACACGCAAATGCATTCGCACACGCATACTCGTACAAACAGACGGCAGGATGTCGTGCAATGTGAATTTGCACCCAACAGGCTCAACACCCCCACGCTCAGCACCCCGAGACTCAGCACCCCCAGATCCGGCACCTGCAGGCTCAGCACCTCTAGCAGCACCAAAGTCAACAGCTACCTCGACTGGCTCGACTGCGTCTACCTGGGACACACTTGACGGGGCAGGACCATGAGGGGGAGGGGGTCTACCGGGGGAGGACATGGTGCAAGGAATAGCGGTGGCGGGGGGAGAGGCGCGGTGCGGTAGGGGAAGAGATGGCAGTAAGGCACCGACTCGTCAAAGGTGACGTCCTGGGAGGACAGAACACGGCGCGAGGTGGGGTGGTAAAACTGCCACCCAGGCGCGTCAGGGGGGAAGCCAAGGAAGACGCAGGGAACTGCACGGGGGGACAGCTTGTCCGCAGACAAGTCGCGGACAAACGCCCGAGATCCCCAGACCTGAAACGCAGACGCATCGTCAACCTTCCCGGTCCACCGCAAGGCGGGGGAGGTCTCTGGCAAGGTGATCCGGGGGCTGAAGGTTGAGCTGATGCGCGGCGTACTGAACCGCAAACGGCCACAGAAAATGGGGGGCAGCCGCATGCATCATGGACATACGAGCGACGTCATGACCATGCCAATGCGGCGCTCAGCAATCCCATTTTGCTGTGGAGAGGCCGGAAGCGTGAAGGTCTGGCGGATGCCCTTTGCACAAGAGAAGGCTCCCAGACGGGCAGAGGAAAACTTCCCGCCTCTGTCCGAGTGCAGACGCAGAACAAGAAAGTCGGAGCCGGAACACTCTTTGAGCTGGAGACGAGCTGCGCGGATCCAGTCGATCAACACCTCAGTGACGTCACCCTTGCTGTGCAAGGGGAAGACTGTGGTGTAACGCGAGTAGTCATCAACCACCAGCAGGAAGTACCGCTCGCGCCCCTGCCCACTGACGCGGGCTAGGCCCCACACGTCCATGTGGAGAGTTTGCAGCGGAGCCTCTGTCGGAGGAAACTCGGAGGAGTGAGGGGCGGCGCGCTGTCGCCCCTCGACGCAGGGGACGCTGGTAGGGCCAGGCCCCGGAGGAAGGGGAGGGAGAGACCGAGGGAGACCAGAGACAAGGACACGGGAGGTCATGCCTTGGAGACGAGGCAAGGAGGGGTGACCAAGGCGGTGGTGCCAAAGGAGAGTCTGGTGGGACAAGAGACGACACCAGCAGGGAGCAGACTCAGGACCAGACCTTGACGCCGCAGCAAACACCTGACTCGACGCAGCTACCTGGGCAGACTCAGCAGCCTAAGGGGACTCAGTAGTAAGGGTGTACATGCTCGACCCTGGCCGACAGGTGAACGTGGCCAAGTGTCGGCCTGTCCGAGCACACGAGCAGTGGGCCACTCGCTGACTCGCAAGAGTGAACTGGTCAACCCCCCCAATCCTGTAGGTGCGCTCCACTCACAAAGTTCGTAGAGAACGAGGGGAGGTAAAGACCTGACAGGGTGCCAGAGGGGGCTGCCAGGCACGGTAAGACAGTGGAGAAGCTAGCAAGGACAGGACCCCCAGAGGGGTCTCACCAGGGAGACCGCAACCGGCCGACTAAGCGGCGTAAGCGTGGTGCGGTCTCGAAAGAAGGAGTGGGAAGCACCCGAGTCAAGGGTGAAGGTGTGTAAGGCCTGAGTCGACGTAGTACCTGAGAGAGCAGACTCACCAGCACCTGGGGCAGCAGACGCACTAGCACCTAGAGCAGCAGCCTCACCATCACCTAGAGCAGCAGCCTCAATGCCCGGGTCAGGCGGAACACACAGGTAACAATCACCCGCATCACTAGTAGGCAATGCATACATGGCAGTGAGGATAGCATCATAGTCAAGAGTATAGATATCTACCCGCAGCCTTAGCAGCTCCACCCATTCAGGGAGCTCAGCCGCGTCGCTAAACTCCGTACGCCAAGCGTCGCTCAGACGGGCAAAGTAGTGGGACTCTGTGTGACCACGCGTCCCGCAAGGGTGACCAGTCCGGACACATGTGCTAATAACGTACCGGCAGCGAGCACTACTCAGCGACCCTCTACTCTGAGCGTACCACTCACGAAGCTGGTGGGGGGTGAGGGACTCACGCGGGCGACGCTGGAGCTGCATCTGGCCACTACAAGTAGCTTCCGGACTACTCACTCCAGGACGACTCCCACTACGGCCAGCCCGACAACCCCAACTAGCGTACCACTCACGAAGCTGTTGGGGGGTAAGGGACTCACACGGGCGATGCTGGAGCTGCATTTGCCCACGCTAGGAGCAGCAGTAGCAGTACAAAGAGCAGTAGCAGCAAGAGCAGCAGTAACAGCAGTACGCGCAGGGTAGTGCTCACCAGTGGCGAGAAGGGCAGGCGTACGACGGCGGCAACGGCGATGCCGCTACCACTGTAGGGCGAGACCTCCGCGGCAGCTACAGGGGTGGCTGCTCCAGGGGCGGCAGTTGTAGGGGCGGCTGCTCCAGGGGCGGCTGCTGCAGGGGCGGCTGCTGCAGGGGCGGGTGCTCCAGGGGCGGCTGCTGCAGGGGTGGCTGCTCCAGGGGCGGCTGCTGCAGGGGCGGCTGCTGCAGTGGCGGCTGCTCTAGGGGCGGCTGCTGCAGTGGCGGCTGCTCCAGGGGCGGCTCGGCTGCTGGGCGACTCGGCTGCCGAGCGGCTCGGCTGTTGGGCGGCTCGGCGGCTCGGCTGCTCGCTAGGGGCGGCGATGGGGCCGGGTAGAGGCGGCGACGGGGCCGCTAGGGGCGGCGACGGGGCCGCGTAGGGAGGGGAGCGGCGACGGGGCCGCGTAGGGGCGGCGACGAGGCCACGTAGGGAGGGAGGCGGCGACGGGGCCACTAGGGGTGGCGACGGGGCCGCGTAGGGGCGGCGACGGGGCCGCGTGGGGAGGGAGGAGGCGAAGGGGCCGCTAGGGGCGGCGACGGGGTCGCGTAGGGGCGGCGACGAGGCCGCGTAGGGGCGGGGACGGGGCCGCGTAGGGAGGGAGGCGGCGACGGGGCCACTAGGGGTGGTGACGGGGCCGCGTAGGGGCGGCGACGGGGTCGCATAGGGAGGGAGGAGGCGACGAGGCCGCTAGGGGCGGCGACGGGGCTGCTAGGGGCGGCGACGGGGTCGCGTAGGGGCGGCGACGGGGCCGCTAGGGGCGGCGACGGGGCCGCTAGGGGCGGCGACGGGGTCGCGTAGGGGCGACGACGGGGCCGCTAGGGGTGGCGACGGGGCCGCGTAGGGAGGTGAGCGGCGACGGGGCCGCTAGGGGCGGCGACGGGGCCGCGTAGGGGCGGCGACGGGGCCGCTAGGGGCGGCGACGGGGCCGCGTAGGGGCCGCGACGGGGCCGCGTAGGGAGGGGAGCGGCGATGGGGCTGCTAGGGTCGGCGACGGGGCCGCGTAGGGGCCGCGACGGGGCCGCTAGGGGCGGCGACGGGGCCGCGTAGGGGCGGCGACGGGGCCGCGTAGGGAGAGAGGCGGCGACGGGGCCGCTAGAGGCGGCGATGGGGCCGCTAGGGGCGGCGACGGGGCCGTGTAGGGCGGCGACGGGGCCGCTAGGGGCCGCGAGGGGCCTGGAAGGGCGGCGACGGGGCCGCTAAGGGTGGTGCGAGTGGCCGTGAGAGGAGCCTCTAAGAGAGCTCGACAGAAGGGCGGCTCACAAGGCGCGCCTCGGGCAGGAGTGACTGGCGCTCCGGTTAGAAAAAAGAATTTCAGTGGTGGGCCCAAGGAAGCGTTCCCACTAGGGAACCTGCTCTATACCATGTGAAGAAATGAGGAATGAAATGACTAAGGAGAATGTGGGTACAAGTAGGAAACCTAGAAATGTTGTACCCTATAGTGTCTACCCCACTATAGCCTAGATAGACCATAGCATATAAGTTTGACACCCGAATGGCATCACAGTGTACTCGAACGACCCGTACCTAGTCCTGGATGTTGTTTTGACGCAATCCGATGGTTCGACCTTAATCTGATGGTAACCTCCCCGTAAATCTATTTTCGAAAAAACCCGTGCTGTTCGCAGTTGGTCGATCAGTTTGCCGGCGCGGGGAATGGGGTACCGTGACTTGACTGTTACCCTGTTCAATGCTCTGTAGTCGATACACATGTGAAAACCCCCATCTTTTTTCGGCGTGAATAGTATCGGTGCGGCGAACGGTGACGAGCTCGGTCTGATGATTTTTTTCTCTAACAGGTAATCTAACTACTTCCTTAGTTCGTCGAGCTCGGGCTGTGTCAGCCTGAACTGGCACTGTACGGTTGGCTGTGCCCCCGGTTCTAATTCGATTCGGTGGTCATTTGCTCGCTGAGGTGGCAGTCCTTCCGGTAAGTCGTCGGGGAAAATCCCGGGGTATCGTTTCAACAGTTCCTGTAATACGGGCGGTACGGCTGCCAGCAGTTTCTTGAAATCACTCGGCTGCTCTGCTTCCTCTACTACTGCGATGTCTACCGCGTACACGTCAGCTCCAACAGCGACAGCCCGTTTCATTGTGATGGTGTTGACGTGTACCGTTGAAGACTCGGGCGACTGCCAGCGAGGTAGCTCGACCCAATTATCACTACTTCGCACGGTGCAGCTACCCGTCGTCCAGTCAATTCGTGGGTTATACCGTCGCAGCCAATCACGTCCCAGTAAAATATCGTGCCCATCCAGTGTCGTTGCGAGCATTTCTTGTGTAAACCCGAAATTTCCCCCGCAGCGGACTTTGCCTCTCTCTACCTTTTCCCGTATGGCTAGTGGCGTGCCGTCGACTAAGCGTGCGTCTATCTCCGGTAAGCAACGGCTAAGTGTCAGCTGCAGTTTTCGTGCGGTTGCGGTATAAACTAAACTGTGGCTTGCTCCTCCGTCGATAAAAATCTTCATTGCTGCTCCCAATATTTTCCCGTGGATCAGTACTAGGCAATCTGTTGCTGTACCTGTCAGATTTATATGACATAGCTATTGTAGGCTATAGTGGGGTTGCACATACGGGGTACTGCTTTCTAGGGGTTTATATTTGTACCCAACTTTCACTTAGTCATTCATTCCTCGTTCTAAAAAAAAAAAAAAAAAAAAAAAAAAAAAAAACCTGGGGGTGCTGAGCCTGGGGGTACTACGCGTGGGGGTGCTGAGCCTGGGGGTGCTACGTCTGGAGGTGCTGAGCCTGGGGGTGCCACGTCTGGAGCTGCTGAGCCTGGGGGTGAGGAGCCTACGGGCGCTGGGCCTGCTCGTGTGGCGTCTGGCATTGCTGGGCCTGGAGGTTCTCCGGGTGCTTCGTCTCGGCGGGAGCCACTCTCTCCACAGGAGCTGCGCGAGTGGTTTGCCTGGCGCTGGAGGCGTGCTGCTGGAGCTGGAGTTTCTTCGGCTGCTAAGGGTGCTGGTGCCGCGGGTCCCGGAGGTGCTCGTACTAGGAGTACTGGAGCTGCTGGACCTACGGGTACGACTGGAGATGGAGCTGCTGAGGGTGTTGGCGCTGAGGCTACTACTGTCGGTCCTAGAGGCGGTCCTACTGGGGGTGCTACTGGTGCTCCTGGACGTACTGGAGCTGGAGGTGCTCTTGGCGCTAGTGCTGCCGCTGGGGGTGCTGGTGCTATCCCTGCTGTGTCTGGAGTCGCCGCGCGGCCTCGGCCGTACTTCGTTACGCTCCTTCAGCACGTTCTTGGTCTCCCGCCTTCTACTGGTCCTCCTCCTCCCTTGGAGTGTCCGCAGCCTGTCCGGTCCCAGTTACAGTTACAGCCGGCCTCCCCACTGCCTGCTCCTTCTCCCTACACTGGTCCTACTGGAGGTCTTGCTGAGCGTCGTGAGATTGCGTCTCGCCCTGCGTCGCCTGTCCGTGCTGCTCGCACTAGTGGTCGCGGTTCGCGTCAGCGTCCTCCTCCTGTCCCTGGCACGCACCGGATGTCTCTGCGTCCGTCCACTGCTCCTCTGCGTGCCCCTTTGCCTTCTCCTCCTGAGTCCTCTCTTCCTGCTCTTGCTGACCCGGAGTCGGACTCTCTTCGTGCTCCCCGTCCTACTGTCACGCGTCTCCTTGCTAATGTCGTCATTGACCCTTCCTTTGAGTCCACTGCTGCGTCTGCCCTAGTTGCTGAGCTCGTCGACTTTGCTGCCACCTGTCGTCTAGACTACGCTGCTAGTCTTGTTGCTGAGTCTGCTTCTGTATGTCCTCCGTCCGTCGGGGGTGAGTGTGCCCTTGGCACGAACGTCCTTGAGGACAGACAGGAGGAGTTCCAGTGTCTGGCTGCTACTTCACCTCATCTTGTGTCCGTACTGCTTACCCCTAAGGGAGACCCGGATGCACCAGACAAATCCCGATTCCGTGCTCTTACGCAGAGGCGATAGAGGGTCCCTACTCCTCTCAGTGGCAGGCAGCTATGGACGCAGAGATGGCTTCATGGAAGTCCACAGGCACCTACGTTGACGAGGCTCCCCCGCCTGGGGCGAACATCGTCAGTGGCATGTGGATTTTCAGGGTGAAGCGGCCGCCGGGTTCTCCGCCTGTCTTCAAGGCGCGTTACGTGGCTCGTGGCTTCAATCAGCGGCAGGGAGTTGACTACTTTCAGACCTTCTTTCCCCCGCGAAGATGACAACTCTTCGGGTGCTACTGCACATAGCCGCTCAGCGCGACTACGAGCTTCACTCTCTTGACTTCAGCACTGCTTTCTTGCAGGGTAGCCTGCACGAGGAGATCTGGCTGCGCCGCCCTCCTGGCTTAACTGGGACTTTTCCTCCTGGCACCCAGTGGAGCCTCCGGCGGCCAGTCTACGGTCTCCGCCAGGCACCGCGTGAGTGGCACGACACACTGAGGACTACGCTTGCGGCTCTTGGGTTTGCTCCCTCTACTGCCGACCCGTCGCTGTTTCTGCGCACCGACACTTCTTTGTCGCCGTTCTACATCCTCGTATACGTCGACGACTTGGTCTTTGCCACTGCTGACACAACTGGACTCGCCCACGTGAAGTCCGAGCTGCAGAAGAGACACACGTGCACAGACCTGGGTGAACTGCGCAGCTACCTTGGCTTGCAGATCACCCGGGACAGAGCACGCCGCACCATTACCCTGACTCAGTCACACATGGTGCAGCAGGTCCTTCAGCGCTTCGGCTTCACGTACTCCTCGCCTCAGGCCACTCCTCTGTCTACTCGCCACTCGCTCTCAGCTCTGCCTTCGGATGAGTCCGTAGAGTCGAGTGGCCCGTACCCAGAGCTTGTTGGCTGCCTCATGTACCTGATGACCTGCACACGACCTGACCTTGCATACCCTCTTAGCATCTTGGCACGCTATGTTGCTCCTCGCAGACACCGACCAGAGCACATGGCTGCAGCGAAAAGGGTGTTGCGCTACTTGTGCAATACGTCGGGCATGGGGCTAGTGCTTGGAGGGCAAAGTCCAGTGGTCCTCACTGGACACGCAGACGCTTCTTGGGCTGACGACCAGGCTACGCAGCGGTCGTCACAGGGTTACACCTTCAGCCTCGGTTCCGGCTCTGTTTCGTGGCGGGCTACCCGCTCGTCTTCTGTTCTTGGCTCCAGTTGTGAGGCTGAGATCTACGCCGGGGCCATGGCTGCATAGGAGCTTCGCTGGCTCATCTAACTGCTGACTGACCTCGTAGAGCCGCCTCGTTCTCCTCTAGTGCTGTACGTAGACAACAAGGCCATGCTGGCCTTGTGTCGAGAGCAGAGACTGGAGCACAGAACGAAGCACATTGCTCTTCGTTACTTCCTTGCTCGTGAGCTACAGCAGCGCGGTTAGCTGCGTCTTGCGTACGTGGGCTCTGAGGCCAACACTGCTGATATCTTCACCAAGGCACTTGTGCCTCGAGATCATCAGCGCTTTTGTACTTAGCTGGGTCTTGTGCCTGCCTTGCCTCACTTGCTCACCTCTTGACCTTACTTGTACTGTCACATATATATATACGCCTGCTCTTGCTTGTCTAGCCTTTAATATATATCTGTACTCCTGCATGTGAACTGGCCTTGTGGCCTTGACCTTGTGCTCGGAATGTGTGGTGACGTTGTGATCCACCCTGAGCTTGCTTTGCTTTGCTTTGCTTGACTGGTCTTGTGACCCCTTGTTCTACCCCACTTTGCCTATGGGGGTGTGTCAGATTTATATGACATAGCTATTGTAGGTTATAGTGGGGTAGCACATATGGGGTACAGCTTTCTAGGGGTTTATATTTGTACCCAACTTTCACTTAGTCATTCATTCCTCGTTCTAGTTTCGTGAGTACCCTCCTTATTCGTCCGAGTCCGATCGATAGCATGAATTGGTACTGTGACTCGGTGAGGATCGGTGGGGTTGGTCGAGTAGGCAGTCTCGTCAGTAGTTGGCCCGATTCCTACAGACTGCTGGTGTTTCCCAGCTTTGGAGACTCCCTCCCCTGCTTTGCTCCGCGGCGCCTTAGCTCCTCTGGGCATTCGCTCTTGCGATGGCCCGGCCTGTTGCAAGCAAAGTAGCGCCCCTTAAACGGCGCGGCAGCTGCATTCGATGCAATAGAATGTACAGTGGCGTGCTCGATCGGTCCCCGAGGACGATGTCCATAGTAGGACTCGGGTCTCGAACGGCGTAAAATGTCGATTTTCTCGCCGAGCGCGAGAATCTCGTTGAAGTTCGAGAGCCCGCGTAGCATGATTTCGTGCGAGATGTCCGGCTTCAGCCCTCCGACGTAACGGTCCACCCGCTCCGCTTCGTGCATGTAGCCGACTTGCTCGCATAATGCGAGAAAACCACTCGTATAGTCTTGAACCGATCCAAGCTGCCGCCTAGTGCGCAATCTCTGAC